TTATATGCTTCTGAACAGCATTTATTGTCCTAAAGAAAGCTCACACAAAAGAAAAGGTTTTTTTAAAGGGTGCTGAAAAGCTTAATGATTATGGTTTCTGAAAGCAAGGGAGCATACCATACTCACCCTGTAGTGATAGCTAGGATCTGAAGTAGTCTTGTACTGGCTACTTTCAAAGCTGTGCTGAGCTGAGAAATACCAGTTTTGGGCAGCAGCTGCAGTGGTTGTCCTAACATGGTGTCTGTGCCACACAACTGAGATAGCACATTTAGCAGACCAGTGGAAATGGCCAAGGAGACATCAACAGGCTGATAGTGTACGCTTAGAGCAAAGACTGTTACCAACAGAAGACGCTGTTGTGCTTCTAAGATTAAAATAAAGTTGGTTTTAATTAATAAGCTGTTTAGAATAAGAATACTAAGACAGAAGAACAGCAGTTTATTTTTAAAATAAAATGTAATGAATTAAATTATCAAGTAAAGAGTTAGCCGCCTTTGTCAGACACTCTGAGGTAGTCTTTCTGATGTACCATCATAGCCCCCTTTAACTCAATGCAACCTCTATGTCAAGGTTGTCCAAGGAAGAATATTGTGTAGATCTAGTTTGTGATGTAGATGTTCTGAGGCTAAATCTCAAACCCAAATCTTCTCTCTAGGGTAAGGATAACTGGGTGAAATACTTAATTTTCTACTTGTGCTTCAAGTTGATTCTCAAGAAACATCTTTCAATTCCATTTTAAGTGAAACAACAAAACAATTCAGGTAAGAATGCCCATTAGGCTCTACCAACAAACTAAATTATGTAACTTTCTTCTGTACTGAAGCTCTCAGTCAGTGCATGTACAAAGGCACAAAGAGGTGCAGACTTCCAGCTCTCCCTTCAGGACAGAAACACACAGCAATATCTGGGTATAGGTGGCCAGGAGAAAGGGCTTCCAAAGCAGGCAAGATGCCCTGTTTTTTGGTTTTGGGTTTAAAGAAAGTTCACTTGAATGAAAGAAAAAAAGATTGGAGACTTTTCGTCTCTTCAGAAAACTGATTATCTCTGAAAAAACTAAAACACACTTTGAAGCGCCAAAGGTGACTATGGAAGACTGTGGTACGTGGAACATTTATAGGTTGACAATACTTACAAGTCTTTAAAAAAAAAAAAAAAAGCTAACACTTGAAGAAAATTAAGACAGAAGAAGGTTAAAAAGCTTCTCTCTCTTAGGAAAAGAAGTCAGACAGATACTTCAGTGAATTCTGGTCACTAATATCAAAGTCTGCTTTGTTAAACATATAAGCTGTTGTACCGTATATTAGAGGACATATTTTTCAAATCTGGTTTTCACTTACCTATGTGATGCTTATTAGCTTGCAGAGCTCTTTCTAACGTAGCAGATAATTGCTGGTAGATTTTGTGCACAGCCACTTGGATTTCAATTTGAATGCTTCTCTTAGCTGCTCTGATACCATCCTAGGTCAAACAAATAAATAACATAAGGACTGATACATTTTTATCATCCAGTTATTGAAACAGCAGAAACTACTGAAGTACATACCTGGTAGTGATGCAATCTTACACTCTCTCCTTTGGCACCTGCATGTCCTACAGTGCCCAAACCAAAGCAGCCAGCAAGAAATTGTAGTCTAACAGAAGTGAGCAATGAAGATGACTGAAATCCTGGTACTTGACGACTTCCCATTAATGGCACACTACCTTTTTCCTCCATCCCTGATAGAAGCACTAAAATCTGATGAAGTGCTTCCAGACGAAGCTAAAAAGTAAAGGCAGGCAAAAGACAGTATTAAGTAAGTAGCAAGTATCCTTAGAAATCATCTTCAAACATAAGCAAGAATGAATGAGGTAGCTGTTTTCTCATCAACACTTTTTTTTTAAAAAAAAGGGAATCCTTTAAGTTCCATTTTAGAGTTTATTTACATAAAGATCCCAGTTCCAGTTAAGCCATTCTAACAGAAAAGAGAGGAAAAATGTCCTTAATGGACAGAATTCGGACAATGTTTTTTAAAAAAAAAAAAAAAAATCCATAAAATGAGCATAATGTATGAAGAATAAGAAAAGGTGTTAAACTAAAACTTACCTCAGCCCTCAACTGCTGCTGCTCCATTGCAATTATTGATGCTTGTGGACTGGTGGACATACTTTCCTCTGGTTCCTTAAATCCTGGCGAGTTTCCCACATCTCCACTTACAAAGCTGACAACATTTTCAATCAAAGTATGAACTCCAAGGGATCTTGAGAGATCAAAATCGGACTCAACAAATGAGTAGGAGGAAGTATATAACCAATCTCTGCTGTGTTTTAGTCGAGCCCATGAGTCACTTAAAGATTCCACTTGACTGTGTATTGCTCCTAAAGATATATATAAAGTCTCATAAATTCCAATTCACCAGGTAACACATTTTGACAGCAGGTAAAGACTGAACTGCTGCTATTCATACAGGTAGAAAATGGATATTCATGTTAATTATTCCATGCATTAAGCAACTTAGAGCAAAACACTTGATTTAAATTTACAGCAATTTCCCTAAAGGAAAGGCTGTATTTCTTTTAATTATGTTAAGCAGTATTGCAACACGCTGCCAAGTGAGAAAACAAAAAGATAGAAGCCACTCAAACTGCTCAGCTTTAAGCTAGAACACTGAATAAAAATGCTTTGCAGCTAAATGACAAAATAGTAAAGAAAAGATCTGCTACAACAGAAATTGTGCACTTTGGATATTCATTTTAAGGCCTGGCCTAGCCATAAAATAATAATGTATTTTGGTTTTAATCAAGCCACTATATATTTTATAATTTTGAAAAAGCACAACATTATTGTGGATGAAACGTTTACAGAATTCATGATTGCAGAAGGGAACAGAAAATTTTTATTTTAGACTAACAGAGAGCATTTACTTTGTTGTGATTCAAGATAAATAGATACATGTATATTAAGTACTATCTACAGCATATATTAGATCTGTATTTTCATCATTTGGCAATTTCACAACCCTATTTTCAAGTATTTCTTATTACATCGGCATGTCATTACACTACCTGAAATTTTAGTATCAGTAATAAATGCACTTCTTCAAATAAGCATCAGTCATCAATCTGCAGCACTGGAACTTATTTATCACCATATAGTTGATCTCATTTCCAGAAGAGTTTTGCTAGAATTCTATCCCCGGCACAAATGAGTGCAATGTCACTTGAAGTCATACCTTCATCAGCAGTTAACTGATATGCATCAGTTAAATATACGTATCAACACAGAAGTTGGTACTTTATTGTTTTCGTAAATGTTGGTAGCCTCTTCATCACCTCAATGTCTGTCTTGTATTGAGGGGCCCAAAACTGGACACAGTATTCCAGGTGCAGCCTCACCAGTGCCGAGTACAGGGGGACAATCACCTCCCTGCTCCTGCTGGCCACACTATTCCTGCTACAAGCCAGGATACTGTTGGCCGTCTTGGCCACCTGGGCACACTGCTGGCTCAAGTTCAGCCGGCTGTCCACCAACACCCCCAGGTCCTTTTCCACCAGGCAGCTTCCCAGCCACTCTTCCCCACAAGCCTGTAGCGTTGCACGGGGTTGTTGTGACCCAACTGCAGGACCTGGCACTTAGCCTTGTTAACACTTCAGTTTTTAAAATCTGTCTGCAGGGTGTCGGCCTCAAACACTATTAAACATAGCCATTTTCAGGAAAAAGTCACACAAATTCATAGAAATTAATCTGTTAAAAGCTTTCTTTTATCAGTGAGGCTGAGTTCCAATGGTAACAGCTACATACTAGTTTCAGGACCTCCTCTGAACACTGGCTACCTGCCATAGCTCTGTAAGCAGGTACTCACAGGAACAAGGAAAGACACATCAGTTTTTGAACTTAGGACTACTCTCCTAGCAACCATTCTACACCATTCTTTTCCTGAGGTAAAGGCAAAATGCTATTATTCTGTCAACCAATCTGCACCTGCAGGTCACAATTTGCACCTTCACACAACTTACAAATTCAAAATACTGAGAAAATGTGCTTTTCCTTTGTAAATTAAGTAGTTAATCTCCACTTAGTTGCCAAAAAATGTAATGGTCAGGTCTACGAATTACGAAAACCTGTTTACATTCCATTTCCTTTTCTGTGAATAAGTGTTTATGTGCATTTGTACGGTATTCCTTACACTTGCTGCTAAACAGAGTGCAATGGCTTCAGAAAGAACCATCACAGTACTTAGGTCTTATTAGCTGTTTGACAAAAACATATGCACACAAAGTTTTGTCGGATAATGCAAAGATTAAGTCTAAACACTACTTTTCAAAGTGTAATCTAATTTCCTAATTTCTGCTGATTTACGTAATACAGCAATGTTACCCCGTTTACAGAGAACAATCTATTTTGTCATGTTTACTATGAAAGAATTTAAAGAAATTTTGGTACTCAGTTTTACAATTTATATCTGGTGACATTATTTAAAACAAAAGCAAAGGCAGATACCACCTTACCCTAATTTTAATATTAATTCTTATAATCTTTGGTTTTTTAAGCTCTCTATTAAAAACTAAATTATATGCTGAAGTGGCAGGTGAGAAACAGAAGATAAATAGGACAGAGTAGAATAAAAGGATGCTAAAATATTCAGTTTCATGTAGGAAGGAGTTTCCTAGCATATGCATAGTGAACAGAGCCCAAGGGAGAGGATAAATGAAGCCTCAGATTTCCTACAGGAAGCATAGCTAAACCGTTACTAAGTCCACAAAATGTTGCCTACATAGCAACAACTACTTCAAAAGCCTTCTTAAACCCTACAGTCTTTCAACAGCAGGAGAGCTTAAAGCATCCCAAGGTGACATTAGCTTCCTATCCTCTACCTGTCCTACTCTATGCTATGCCACTAGGAACACAGCACAGAATCAAAGGATTTGTAAGGAAACAAAAAGCAATTCCAATGTCTTAAATCCTAAGCTTTAGGAGACTTTTCAAAGATTAACAGAACATCAGAAGAAAATTTCGTTTTGATAGTCAACAAATCTTATAAGAAAAAAAAACCCACCGTATATTAATAAAAACCTAAACTTCTTCATATTTGAAAAAGATGAGGTCTTAGCTAATAATTTTAGTATTAAATGCAAGAATGTTTAAAAGTAAGAGCAATTTAAATTTGTTTTAAATTAGGAGAAGTCCAACAATTATGATACAGATTAAATGTAAAGCAAGAGACATTGTAACTGAAAGTATAGAGCTTAAAAACAAAGATGTCAGAAGTCTAAGTAATATACGTCAGAATTAAAAACATTTAAGAATTAGGGCACACATATCTAAAACAAAGTAATTTTTTTCCTTGAAGATGTTAAATATCAATAGAAGAATCAAAAGTATGATTGTATATTAAAGCTTAGCTTGATTCTGTGTAATATCAATTACACAGAATTGATTGCAGCTTAGCACTTCCATAAGCCTCTACAATCACATGAATAGAGTTGCACATAAGGATAAACTTTAAGCTTACAGGGGAAAAAAAACCAAACCAAAAACCAAACCAAAACCAAAACCAAAGTTTACTTGTCCTTACAAGCCAGCTTGTAATAATGAGTTTTCTAAATGAATATGGCACAGCTGCAATACACACTTCATAAAACATAAAATATGTAGGGAAGCTACAGAGACAAAAAAATAAACATGCCATCAGTTACTTGCTTGAAGCTCTTCTTTTTTCTGGGGCTCAACTGGCCAAAAAGGAGTAAATACACTACACCACACAAGAATCAGAAGACAAAAGCAGACATTTGAAACAGAAGGTAACATATTCATAAAATCTCTTCCTTATATTATTCTGACTTAGATTTAAATGACCAGTCTCATCTCAATCAATACAACAATATACCAAGCAGCAAAGTTTGGGAAAAAAATATTTACTCTTGTTTGGAATTAGTATAGCCTAGGTAACAGACTTTCCCAATTCTCCACCTTCTTTTCAGGGGGGAAGAAAAAAAAAAGTATCTCCCCTTTAACACAGTTATATGCATAGAACAAGACATGTTTATATCCCTTATTCAAACATGATCTCTCAATTTCAAAATGCAGAACTCATACTATTACAGGTACATAAAATTATTTCAATTTAATTTGCATTTCACTTAAGTTGCTGCTTTTTTCAGAGTTGCCCAACTGTCTTAGTAAAGTACTACGGAACACACAAGCACACTGAAATTCACTGAATTAAGATTTATGAGAAGTAGGAAAACCCAAGACTGGAAGACTTGCATTTATCTGTCTGTAACTATGTTTACAATTGCACTGATAAATACGCATTCTTTACTGTTGAGCATCTAATGCAGTGTACAGTATCCCACAGGTACTGCACAGGATAGATACAATATTTTGAGGCACACTATCTGGATCTACAAAATTGAAAGATTAATCTAAACAACAACAACAAAAAAATCCCAAAGGGCTTAGATATGAGGGGAAAATAATAATGTGCTCATCACCCTTTATGGCAAAAGTATTGAAAAAGACTTTTTCTGCAGGAATGGAAGGAAAAGTTTACTAATTCAGAAATAGCTAAATAATAGCAAGGAACAAGATACTGAAAGGATGCTAAGGCTGAAGTAGGAATAGAATCCTGCAGTCATGTTTCTGAACAGAGACAATAAATGAAGTAAGATGGCAATTAAAGATTGGACTGAGTGGCTAGAATGTTAACTGAGTAAAAAGAGAATACTTTCCTTCCATACTCATCTGCAAGACCACAGGATCAACTTACAGTATTAGCAGTTTTTCTACTGCTGGTTTTCTATATTGCAATTTATGAATAGGAACAGCTTTTGTACCATAAGAATAAGACTATAACCAAAACTCAGATTCAATTATCAAAGAAATGTGATCTGAATTTTGAACAACAACTTGCTGCATTCAATAAACAGAAGTTCTAAAATAAGCCAATCCACTCCAGAGGGAATTACTCTCTTGCCTGTTACAGAAAAACTACTCATGTAGTGTGTATAGGGTATCAATTATTTTGACAGCTTTGCAAGGATCAAATGCTCCACGTATAGTTGAGATTAAATTAACCCTACAAAGCCTCAGCTGGAAACATCATGTGTGGCCACAGTTCTGTAACAAGTAGTGTGGTTAAATTCTAGTAAACTTGTTAAGAAGAGTTGGGAGGAACCTCATGCCCATATATTAAGGAAATTTTTTTAGTGAAAATTCCCTTTTAAGTCTCCAAAATAGCACAGCCTACAGGAAAAAAACAATGGTGATAGAAGGAAATATCTTCAGGAAAAAACCTTGCTTTCCAATTAGCTCAGCTTGCCAACTTCCTTCACACAGTTTACAGAGACACACTTAAAAGAACAAATAGTTTCAAGGGACTACTGCAAACTGCAGTAAGATAGTATTCTAAAAACCACATGTAAAAGGAAACATGATTGAGTTTTTTGAATAATAAACTTCAACTGAAAGAAATGAGAAGTGGTTCCTATGGTTCTTCTTGTAAGACTCCACTTGTCCTCTTCCACCTAACTGCCAGCCCTGCATTCAATCCAACAAAAATTTGAAAAGTTCAGCGTTAAGTTGTTAAGCAACAATGGTTACTGCTGTTTTGTAGAAATAGAGACAGGAAAAAACAGGAGGCTTTACTTTATGTTAACTGCAATTCAAGAAGTGTTTCCCATTTATGCTTCTGTTGTAATGCATGACTATCCTCTGCACTCAAAATAGAGATCTTCTCTAGCATCTATACAGCATACATGTTTCCTTCCTCTCCTTCTCATTTAGAGGGTCATAAAACCTTCCACATCTTCCACTCAAAAGCAGATCATATGTAGACATCCTAGGAGCACAAGGTACAAACATGAATATGGGAGGAACATCTCAAAAAAACCCTAACAAATAAAATTATGCTGCTTGTTTCTCACTACAATGTCTAATGGTTGCTTCAGGGGAATCTGACTTTGGTGGCACTTAAAAATCCAGCTGAAGAACATCTCGAGGAACAATGCAGTAGTCTTCCGTAGATCATCTCTTCTACAGCAGTTTACTTGCCATAAACAGGAAACCAGGCTTTTTTAATGCTTCAATTCTTAACAAATGTAGCAAAGTCAAATGCAGATAGCTCATTCTGATGGAACTCCTTAAACTCTTTTGCCAGCAACCTGGGATGGAGCACAGCATAATGTGGATATGCTATAAGAATATAGATTTCTCTTATTCTTCAAGCTGAGGTAACAGTGAACATAGTGTCCCCTTTATTAGTCACAGCACATCACAAGAATAAAGATGAAACTGAAGGGGTTTTACCAGTCAAAACATCCTTGATAGGCACTGCAGTATCTCTAGCACTTCAGTGTGCTGGCTACGTTACAATGGGTGGACAATCCAAAATGGCTGCAACTTACATCTTCACCAAACACTGGGGCATACTTCAGTTCTAGAGGATAACTAGGATTCACAAAACCAGACATTTCATAAGCAATGAAAGACCATGAATAGCACTGAGCTGAACAGCTCATTCACTTGATCACACAGATCTTTGTAGATCTTCTTCTGACCTTGATGTAAGTATCAGGAATGTTTTCCCTCTAAATGCACCCTGCATTCACTGGATGAGTCTGGCATTGGGTATCAACCAAAACTATCATAAATATCATCTGGCACAAGTAGAAAACTTTTCAATACTGTACGCTAACTTCCAGTTGCCAAAAACAGACAAAAAAAAAAAAATCTGTAAGTACCATGGGACAGCAAAATAAGTCCTCCACTATCAGAAAACAGGTATCCATACATGCTGTCACACTGTTCAGTTCGAAAATGAGCTATTTGAGCTTCTTTAGGTTCTGGGTAGATCAACTGGATTTATCCCTGTTTCTCCTCAGTGTTACACATGTGGTGCAGAATCTTCTTCTGTAATAAAGTGCTTCTACAGACTGGTTGGTTGATAAAGTCTATTCTTGCATTATTCCCTATTTTCCAGAGCCTGTGACCAAAACAACCTCATCAGTCTAACCAACAGATCAGGAACCATAATCCATAAGATATACTGATCTAACCCAAGATGATTTCCTGGATTACTTTTAGGATATAGAGGAAAGCAAGTGCAGAGTCCTGTGTCAGATTAATGGCAAAGCTAAAAACGGTGGCTTCAAAGAATACACTGCAGATCAGAGTGCTGACAGAGGCTATCAGATCTTCTAACAGAAGAATGCCAACATACATCCTGCCGTCACAGTATAAACAGCTCTAGTAAATTTCTTTACTCAGCTCATCTGGTTCAATTGATTATCCATGTACAAGGAATTCCTTTCCACATTATTTGCAAATTGAAGTGTCATGAGTGTTGCCACTGACAGTTTGCTTTTCTGGAATTTCCAGAAGACTTTAAAAAGCTAGGAAACTCTCAGTACTCCACTTAATGATGAAGGCTGTTAAACTAGAACTCTTACATCACCTAACAGTATTAAGGCTTCTGTAATTAAAGCATATCATAACCCAAGTTAATTCCTGTTAACCTTTTCCCAAGATTTTTACAGATACAACAGACATAAGTCATTATTCTAGCAGAGACTCTGCATCATCCACAGTGGTGGACTTTTTGGTCTCTGTGTAAACAAACATCCTTTGCTCCCTCCACTACCTTCTGTAAAGAAGCTCACTGAGATTCCCCAGAATGAAGCAGCAACAAAAAGCAGTACAAAAGCTAAAAATCTGATTTGTATTGGAGCAACTGAAGAAGTGGTTGCTTGGTTCTGTAGGTGTGCTGGTGTTGAGAGTATGCAGAAATTGAAGCGGTATTTTCTGGATACGAGTTCTCCATGTTCAAGTATGTTTTATGGTATTGTTAGCACAAGAACAGTGTGTTCCACTTGATACTGAACTTCTCTGCCAATTTTTTCTTCCTGAAGTCACGCAAGTGAAAACAGAATGAAAGCTCCTAATTCACTTGACCTCACAGAAATCTTCCCTTGCTTCAAAAGATCATCACAATTCTAGAAACTAGAAGAAATAGTTATAACCTAAGAAATACTATAACCAAAGCCACAAAGCAACAGAACTTAGCACAACGAACAGTATGTAATAACTATTTTAAATGCTACTTTTAAATACTCAGTTTTAACATCCTGATTACCATTATGTACTGTACTTAATTGCAAACACTTTTTTACTTAAGACATACTAACATATTTATCAGGTCAATATTGACTAGGTAAACAATAAAACTTACCCCTCTTTCTGTGTGATGATGCCAAATCCAAATCAACATTTCGTCTTCCACTCTGTATTAAAAGATTAATAAAAGACTCATTTCTTTAGGTGAACATATGTGGTGCATAATATTTGAGTATTTAAAATGCAGCCCTCACCCATAAAAGTGAGCAAATTAACAGCTGTAATAATTTCAATTGTTTTTTTACCACCATTACTTTCTCTTAACAATGGTGGTTATTAGAAGAGATCTCTATACTGAAACACAAGTACTAAACAAATGTTTAACTTGTACTTCCCACCTAAATATTTTGAAAATCTCTAAATACATAATGATAGTTTACTTACCAGTGAATAACCTTCCTCATCTGATTCTGGCTGAGATAAATCAGATTCACTTCTTGACTTAATCAGTCTGTAGTTTGAGTTTGCATGGATTGAGCGACTTTCTGCAGTAAGACTTTCACTCCTGCTTCAGGTACACACACACACGCACAGAAAGAAAATACTGGTATTAGGCAAAAGATTTGATAGTCAAATTTAGCAGGTACCACAGTTTCATTTGGGAGCAGACTATCACAGAACATCACAAGACCACACCAAACAGGAAAAAAGTGGTCTGATGGCTTCAATTATTATGCTTATAAAGGGTATTAGTAAACTTTGTTACTTCTTAACACCCTTATCGGTCAACTGAACAAATGGCAACCTCAAATGACTGATCATTCAAGTGCCTTGGTAAGTATTACACACAGTATACAGAAACACTTCTGAGCTGAGAGGACAAGAAAACAGAGACAAAGTAAGTGGGTGAAAAAGCACTGAACTTATTAAAAACCCACCCATAAAATGCATCCTAAAGTTGATATGCTGGAGATGAAAGCCACTTTGACAACGATAGAGGCAGCAACCCATGCTTTAGGGACTAGATTTCCAAAAAGAGGCAAAAAGAGTAGAAGGGTACTGAATATATATATTTCCTTCTGAACTCCCCATCAATATCTTCATTTAAAATATCGGAGCAGAGTTTCTGTACGCTAGAAGCTTAAGTAGACTCAGGAGTTCACTTAGTAGCACCAGCTACACAATTCCTGTGTTATATTCTAATCACACACACAAAGATCTCTAGAATAAAAGTTTAAATGGATCAAGTTTAGAATAAAACTGTGTTACCAAGAAGGTAACACAGGTTATCAAAATTAAAATATATTATGTAGTACTTATACTATTTAAATTATACACTTCTCCAATTGAATGAGCTGTCTGGCTTTATTTTGTTATTCTCCTATACCTAACTGTGTCCTACACATGCCAATATGTTAGGAATATTTATAAAAATCAATCATGAATGACACTTTCTTCATAATAGGCTTTGAAACTTTTGCTTTTAAACATATCCTACAAATTTTTTTGGACACTACTATACAGGACAAGTTCAAGAAAATCCAAACATGGTAATACAAAATCCAAACACATAAACAAATCTTAAGAAAAATAAAGAATTTTTTTAATTACCTCAGATTATTGGTACACCTGATGATCTGGGCTTCATTACTATTTATCACTAAGCCCAACTTTGAAAAGTAAATATGGTCCACACGGAATAAAACTCTTATTAAGGTTTAGTTAACGTGGACAAAGAAAATTCAGAAAAATCACTATTCTCAACAAAAATGTAACATTGCTCTAGGCAAAAATCTTCCTTTAAAAAAAATTCTAAGAATCCTCAGAGGAAAACTGAGGTTATTTAATCAATTATAAAGGAAGCAGAGAAGAATTAACTATTCTAAGCAGTCAGCAAACCCCACCTTGTCATGAGTCCGATCCCCTCAGGAGTAGTAGAGGGAGGTTGCTGTAACTGTCCATCCTCCCTTCGTTTCTGGAGCTCCTCGATAACAGGGCTTACTCCTAAGATCAACAAGGCACACCTGTGGATCACAGAGTTGCATGCAGCAGTATATACATCTTGACCTTCTGTCAGATCAGTGCTGATTCTTCGTTCCTGCTGAGACTGAGGAGTTGGATCATCAAGTCTAGTCCCTGTCCCAGTGTTCATCCTATCTCGATCCCGACTGCGAGCTACTTCACGGGCTGATAGGAAACATTGAAATATTTCTGTAACATGCAACACAAAAAGAAGGTCTTAACTTCTAGACAAAGCTACATAGAATGAAACATTCATCTACATCTTGGACCAAAAACTGCCCCACTACAAAGAACAATGAATACTTCTCCAGCAGTAAAAGAATACATTAATAATACAAAGCTATAAAACAAGTCATGCAAACAGGTTAAATGAAGCATTTACACAATGTTAAGTTTAAAATTAAGAAGACAATGCAATTTGACAGAACACTAAACACTTTCAGTGTCTTACTGCAACCTAACTCCTGTTTGGATAGCAAAGAGAAAGAAATTATTTCATGTTTGCCTTTTAGCAGACATATATAAAGTAATGCTTCTGTAAATCTGTATGCTAGACACCAGCACTTCTGTAATGCAGTACTGAAGCGGTTTTAGGCTTTTATTAGCCAAAGTCAGTACAATGAAGATCCTATCAAAATTCTTAGCCTTCACTTTGCTTAATTCTGCTTTTGTCTTAGGTGCCAGATTCCTCTAAAGAAGCTGTGAGACAGACCACATAATCTCTGTCCAAAGACCTAAAGCTCTCTTGACTTAATCATTTTAATTTTAAAGATCCAGTTCCCCTTTGGAAAGGTAAAGGTAAACCCGAACACCTCCTTCATTGATATTAGTAGTTAGAAGCAGCAAGGCATCAAGGACACGAACTGAACTCTGCATGTCAGGATCAGCTTCCCTTAGGATTGCCAGTAAGAGAGTCATCATCTTCCCACTTATTTGTGCATGTTAACACTACTGTCCATCTAGATATTTGTGGATACATTTCCTTTATTGCACCCAGAACTCTTGTCCAGGCAGAATTTGAGAACATTGAGCATTTGCCCAGGATAACTCCATATCAAGCAGCAAGAGCATATTGCATCTACTGAACAGGTAACACGTGTACACCTTCTAGAACCATAAATCATCTCATGAACGTGCACTTCAACTCCGTAGTACACTTTCAGGAAAGCCTACTGCATTGTGGATGTAATGACACATCATATAGAAACTAAACATGTAACATACATTTTGGTCTATAAGATCCTAAACAGGAATATGGGAGTCCCAATGGGGAATATAAACACTGTCAGCAAAATAGGTGATGATGACAGCAGAGGATGGAAAATGATAAATATTCTAACAGTATCTGGAGGAACAATATTTGGAAAAGAAAAAACATTACGTATCTATGGAAAATATTTCACATCAGCCAATTTTATTTTACAAACTACATAGATTCTACAGTAATTTTCAAAGGCTAACATGATTTCTGTCTTTGAGAACACTAGGGTAACGATAGAAAAAACAACTAGAGCGTGACTGTGTGTTGCTTCATTAAAACCGGAAAAATTAAGGATTAACTACCCCACTGAGCCTGATTACAAGCCCAACTGAGTATAACAGTCTGCGAAGTTCACCTTTTTCAAGCTACCTTCTGAAGTTTTAAACAAGTTTTTCAGAAAACCCATGAGCAAGTATTACAAGTAGTGTCACAAATACCAAACTTTGTCTAAAACCTCCAAGTTTTTAACAGATTCAAGAAGAGATAGTCAAATATACAAGTGAACTCCAACTCAGCTCACTGTTAACAACACCAGTTTTGTTTCCAAACTTCAGAATATCACTACCCTTCAAAGCTTATTACATAAAAGAATAACACATACAAACACAGCAAAAGTTCTGTATATAAATACTGATGAAAACTCAGAGATCTATTGAATAGAAGTTTAGAGAAAACAATATGAAACCTATTAGTCTTATAGACAGTGCATGTAAGAAGTGTTGGTATATGTCAGACACCCTGAGAATTGCCCATAAAGGCAGTTCCCTTGCCCAGTATTCACATTCCCTTGTATCAAAAGACTTTTCTGACCCAATAAAAGCCCTACACCATTTTATAAAAATAAACTTCTCACAATGTTTATGCAGACAAATCTTTCATAATCTTTTAAATTTCTCCATTCTACGTCAGAGAGAAAAATATATTGTCCTTCCAAAGCACATTACATTGTTGATACACATAATTAGTACTTACTACCAGCTGTCATAACTTCATGTTCTCTTTCCTCCTCTTCATCTTCTTGTTCTGGGTGTCCTTCTTCTCTGTCGCGTTCTGCCTGCTCCTCCATTTCTGCTTCTTCATCAATTGTACGAGTAAAAGAATGTTCTTGAGTATCAACATCAGCAGATTCCTGGTTATCTAACATCTTGATTAAAAAAAAAATATATATATACAGTGAAATTAATTCTCAGCAAAATGAAAGATGAGCATAAAAGGACATAGGTATTTTGTAAGTTTTTTTCCTATCAAAAAGATACTTTTGATATTGTGTGAAATAAACAACAAAGACAGCTGTTTACATTCAAGGCTTTAAATATGTAAGCTGGAAAATTTAATTTTCCTTTAATAACTGTTACTCAGATTATTTGCTGAAAAATATCTCCTTGCAATGCTTAGACTCTGTTGTCAAATGTGACACTTCAGCATCAAAGCTTTAGCAACCACATGCTATTGTCTCAAAATTTTCTCCCTTTAAAAAGGACATGAGTATGATAAAACTTACTTAGATGGACAAGATTTTGTTACTTAAAGCGATACCCAATATGTTACCATTTTTGTTAACAGTTCTGAATTTGCAGTTCTTTTCCTCCCTTTTATTTCAATGAAGTTAGAGGCACACCCCAAGATTAAAGATTAGCAAATGAGGTGCACAAGAAGGTGCACAAATCTACTGCATAGGTTCAGATTTGCTGTATTGCATCTGCACAATAAGCTTGAGGATTTTCAGAAGTAATGGCACTTACTGCACACATGCAGTACACAGTACCTGACTGTAAGCGTACACAACAGCTATAACATGAACATGAAGCTACAGATTTATTACGCGTTTAGAAAATGACCACCCTGTGCATGTCTGGTATGCCAGAGAACCACCAAGCTTAACATATGCATGCTGCCCTGTGTACACACACTAAACCCAATGCTTTCAGACGTGCTGAATCTCTTGCAGATACGTTAGACCATGAGAACAGAAGGGGCAAAGACACATATCCCCTTAATATTAATTAAAAGGAGGAAACAGACGTACACAATCTTAAAAAACATCACTAGTGCTTTACAATATAGCTAAAAAGCCTCATAATCCTGATGTCACATGAGAATTTCCTTGATTAAAAATATCCCACTTGTAGACTGTAAATAGCAACTAAAAATCCTATCAGAGAAACCCTAATCCTACTTTATTCATTACAAGGACTACCTTGTAATGCGTAATAGTCCCCAACACTGAGTAATTCAGCGAACACTTCCATCATCTATTCTGACCTGTCTTAATAAAATGATTCAGAAGGTGCCATCATGCTAGTTTCAGGCCCAGCCCTATCATGCCTAACATTCATGCAGGGCTGATGAGGACAGGTAGCCTTAAGGTAATGTTAGGACTAAGAAGAGAATCTCGCCAGGGAGGAAGGAAAAAGGGGTGAGTAAGGCAGGGAAGGGGATGAGAGAGGTACGGAGAGGGACAGAGATCAGAGGCCCAGGTAACTCGGTTGGGTTCAGGAATGGCAGCCAGACTAAGCTGTGGCCTGATCAACCTAGCTAAGCAATATACATCTAGGCTTCTGTGGTACAGCATACTAGCGCTATGTTTACAGGTAAAACTAGGCTTCAGGTTGTGCTTGAGTCAAATACTGTCAATCAGTCATTTGCTTCAATTGATTTAATACCACATGCACTACAGATTAATGGACTCCTAATTATACATTGCCCATTTTAATTTGAAAACTCCTGAAAGTTTTTCAACAAGGTAGAACAAAAAATACCAGCAACATATATGAAACTAACATTATGTAATATTTTCTTAATACACAGTAAAGCCTGAAGAACCGAAAAGACATTTACAGTCTTACCCATCTATCTCTTGAGGATGATCTAGTCTGAATAAGTTCCATGTTCTTGCAGGCAAGCAAGCGACTCCGAACTTTATATACGCAACGGTATACTTCTGCCAAGGCCTTGCCAGGCTGGTACCTACAAAAAAGAGACCCAAAATGGGAAAAAATCATACAAGCTTTCTTTTAAAAATTGAAGCTGAACTTTTAAAAGCAGTTTTAAGTTACTTACCTGCTCTCACCACAAGCTTGACTGAGTAAACTTGTATGCTTCAGAAGAGCTGCAAGAACAAATCTGGACACAGTATCTAGGAGTGATTCATTACTTAAAGTTGCAGTATCCCAATCTGAAAATAGAAAGGATTCATCAAAACTGGCTAATGTTTCCAACAAGCAAATATATTTTCAATGACATCTTAAGGAAAAAAAAAACAAAACCCACCACCAACAAACCTTCACCCATTTAAATCTTTCAATTTAGAAGTAGTTTTAATGCTTAAGTAGTAAGCTTAGCATCAATAACTCATAAACAAACTGCTTTAGACAAGTGCGTTTTGGTCTGCTCAAGGTACTAGTCTAACAGTCAGCCAAGGGCGTGCACACAAACTGCCAACAGAGATTCAAAGAGCTGAACTTAGGGTGCAACGTCTCTTTCAAGCAAGGATACTGAACTGGAGCTCTTCTCTTTACCAAGCCACCAATTTACATGGAATTTGTTTAGAAACACACCGTATTTGAGACTTTCTGCTCTTTTACACGTGGTTGAAACCACATTCAATAATTATTTTGCAGACCCACTTATGATGAAAAAGCCTTATCTCCAGTAGGAAATCCAACTATTATCACAAGCACAAGCTTAAGCACAAGCTTCATGGCTAATATTAATAAGAGACATTTTCAGGTCTCAAAATTAAGGTTCATCCAGTATTTTCAGAAACTGACTTTTTAATTTCAGAATAATTTTTCCCCACTTTAAAAAGAACCATTATGAAAATAATATTGTTCTACTACCAAATAACTGAACTGCCAAGCAAACCTCCATAAAGCACCTTAATTTTTCATCAGGGAAAAAAGAAAATATTACTGTCCCAATTTGTTACAAATATCTTAATAATATTTTTTTCAATTAAATATTATCTATGAATCCTTGCAAACTGCTGTAGAAATCACAAAAACTTACCTTGCCACATAAAGTTTAGTCTAACATACCTTTTCCTCAGCAAGTTCCAGTACTTTGCATTTGATGCTATGCTAACTGTCACCATATAACTTTCAGTCAGCTTGCATTGTGAACAGAGCAGAACCACATCAACTTCTAGAACATCCAATTCCATAACCAAAATAATACATATCAGCTGATTCATCTCAGATTTTGTAAACAGACAACCAGCATTTTTTACTGGAATTCCTACTTCTGTGAACTCTACAACAGAATCCTCTGTGTTGCTCTCAACAGGCACACAATACCATTTGCTGTCTTCTTGATCTGGTCTAGCTTGGCCAGAGGTACAGAAAATTATCTCTGGATCCAGTAGAGAGTTACAGTACAACCACAATACTTAGTGGATCTCATTAAAAGGAGACCTTGGAAGCTCGAGCAGGAACACAGATTTTAGGCAGTTAGCATGAAGTACCATTAATACTGTAACGCCAGCCTCCCAGAGGCTTGAAAAACAAAAGATGAGTTGCCCCATTGTCCCATTCCTAACATATTTTGCAAGTTACTTTGCCTTCCCCCATCTCCTCCCCATCAATTTTTCTTTTTAATTCCAAGTTTCACCTTGCTCTTCTAGGAAAACAGAAACACCAATAATTGAGTAAGCAAATGAGTCTCTTTTTTCCAGTTTGGAGGGAAAAAGAACATTGAATTACATGTTTGCCAAACACTGGAATCAATGTCAAAAATAAGTGACAGAGAAAGCAAAAGAAAGATCTTGGAACATGACAATAAATTAAGTTTATCATGTTACAGAATTAAACATTGTTGCCAAAGAAAATACCAGATTCTGCTAGGCATGTAGGTGAAGCATGCAATATGCTTTTAACACACACACACACACACACACACACACGCACTCTTCTCCCTTACACACTTTCAACATCTTACCTTTACTAACAGCATAGTCTTGCATACTGATCCAGAGGCTCCTTGCTGGCTCTTTTGTACAACCCAAGGCCAAATCAACATAGACAGAAATCTCAGGTCTCAGCTTATAATCAAATGGCTTCTGTTCCTCATTTCCAGATAGGGCCACTTCTAATAAGGAGCTCATGCATTTGTCTAACAGAAGGGAAATACTTAAGAAGTTAAACTCCACAAATTTGGAGGATTACATGCATCTATCTAAAAGCATATGAAACAGCTTTCACTCTCTAGTTTGTTTAAAAAAAAAAATCAAGTCATCTCATTGTCTGACTACAAACTCACGTTAGGTAAGGAATAAAGTGACTTAGAGTTACAATTTATGTAAGACGTATGAAGATTTAGAAGCATTATCCAACTCTGCTTCAATAGTGTAAATCTGTACCATTAATTCTATAGAGCCATATGCTTGCAATTATTGTGTATTCAGACATGGACCCATTTCAAAATACTATGTCTTGTAAACAAGTCTGAAAGGAGTCTACTCAGAATCAGAGGAAGCAGATGTGAACTAAGAGGAACAGGCCACAGAGAAGGAGAAGTGAGTGCATTATTCAGATGGGAAGGGATGACCAGAAATACCAATGCTGAGTCCTGTTAACACTTCTGGTAGATCAGAAGAATTGAAGTTTGTTGTTAATAGTATTATTTCTAATTAATAAAAATTCCACTTTGTAAGTAGAATACAATTTAAGATAATCTTTTTCAATAACAGATATGAACAATAGAGCTCCTGGTGTGTCTGTTAAATGCTGAGCACCTAAGAGTAAAACTTTTAAAATTAACTCAGTGAAGTCTGTGTTACTACTTTCACTGAAAAATTGCAGATTTTTTTTTCTGTATGCATTTACAAGACCCTTTGTAAACTACAGCATATAATTAAATATCCATGTTCCAACTTTTTGTGTTACTACATAGACAAGAATGCTGAAAGACAATCCCTAAGTACACAGACGTACTCAATCGTCATCAGAAATTTCAAAACTGAACACAAATATTTACAATGACAATCAGACTTGCATTTAACGGCTTACCTAAATGAGGAATATCCATTTCCACTCCATCACTGAAAAGTGGAGTTTTCAACCAATAGGCTGTATCTTGTTCCTCGGGGGACACTGGAGGTCCTTGAAGCATGCCACCAAGACACCGGCCAATAAGCAAAGCTACAGTTCTCTCCAGATCAACAAGCCATACCCAAGACTGGGCAGGCTGTGGTAAAGGCACTCCAGCAGGATCAATTAATTCAGGTCCACCTGAAAGTATTAGCAATGAATTGTCAAATTAGTCACTGTTGCCCAGATGTTAAAAACAATTCCAAAATGAGTAAAATTAATGGCAGATCTTGTTAATATTTCCCAGTTAACAGCAGATTTGCCCCTCAGTCAACAACCTGTAAAGTGAAGAAACAGCAGTTAGGACAAATAGATTGCTTAACATTGTAACTTCAGCAGCAGCAGAGACCACCATTCCCAGCACAATTGTTCATACTCAATGAAGGCAAGGCTCTTTTAAACTCTGCCCAAGCAACTATTTTGTCCAATACATATTTCTTTGCATTCTGATAAACATGCATAGAAAAATGATAGAACTGGAACCAGCACTTAATAAAAGCAGAAAACTTTGCCAAAAATATTAATGAAAAATTCAATGAATAGCAAATAAGCATAGCACCTCCTATCATAAATTTCGGTCACGTTACCTCTGTTTTTATATTTCTATTTCATTGGCACCAGAAATATCTGGTGGCACATGTTCAGGAATTCAGCAAGTAATTAATGATTTTAAGTTAAAATTCTATTACACCATGAAATGGAAAGCAAAAGTAAAATTTGGACATGAAAGTAAACAGATCACAACCAAATTAGCTGTGTCAGGGAAAGTTCAGATTGGTCATTAGGAAAAGATTCTTCACTGAGAGGGTGGTCGGTCACTGGAACAGGCTCCCCCAGAAAGTGGTCACAGGCCCAAGCCTGTCAGAGTTCAAGCAGTGTCTGGACGATGCTCTTAGTCATATGGTTTAGTTCTAGGCAGTCCTGCGAGGAGCAGGGGGTTGGACTCAATGGTACTTATGGGTTCCTTCCAACTTGACATATTCTGTGATTCTAAAAATCAGTGTTTCTTTTATAAGTAAAGAATGGCATTTTCATGTATTACAAACTTAGTATTTTCAGTTCGATATGTATTTCCCATATTGCTCTTGGATTCCCACTCAAGTCAATATACATTCTGGGTTGACAGAATAAAGAAGTTTGCCTGCAGCTCAAAATATTTCACAGCAAGGGATGTTAATACATTTAAGAATCTGAAAAGGAGATGTAGCAAGACACTTAGCTTAAAAAAAAAAAGCCATCTTTAAAGGGAAACTTAAATTTCCACTATAATAAGGTGAGATGCCATTCTTTATTTTTTCAGATTAAAAGTGTGTTACTTATTACACTTACCGTGAAGCGGCCACTGTAATTCTTGATCTTCTAAAAGGGCTGCAGCAGGTAACAGTCTGTTAAGACGATCTAAAGGTGGCAACAGATCTAGCAGGTAACTCAACAAAGGCCGAGCTACTGATACTGGCAGTAACAATAATGAGTTGACAATCTGTGAGAGCATACTACCAGCCGCCGATACATAAATTACATCTATAGAGGAAAAAAAACCCCAAACTATAATTATAATTCAGAATGTAATTGTATTCCAAGCACAATTTAACAAGTCAGAATTGCATAAAAATATCTCAGCTGTCTCAAAATGTCTCTACTGTACATGTTGAATTGGGGGGATTGTTTAATAATTATTAATCCATTCCATATTTTACTTCCGTGCTTTTCAGCAATCTCAAAAAAAAAGTACTTTTAAAAAGAGAAACCTAGAACTAACAAAACTGAAAACAATAATGCACAGAGACAATAGCCTCTCTATTCTGTATTTTTCCTGTATGCAAAATGTTGTACCAAAAGCATGAACCAGACACTATCCTTGGGTAGACACTTGATCCTCCTTTGGGGAGGCTGGGGATGTCTACTTTATGCAGATATAGGGAAAACAAGTTATTTGATTATTCAAATCTAAACAAACAAGAACTGCCTTAAGCTTACAGTGCCAACATTACCAATTTTTCCACAAACATTTACCTCTCAGCTTTTCCCCAACGCTACCATTCCAAGAGCTTTCCTTTAGCAGTGTTGCAGAACGGGAGTAGATATCTGTAGCATGAGGCAATAAAAGTTGAAGGTGTTTGTGAAGCAGTGCCACACTGCTGGAATTCTAGAAGGAAATAAAAAAACCAAACAAGAATAATTCTACAAATGTATTTAAGGGGTTCATGATTTAAATCACTTCAGTTTTCACCTACTCAGAAGATTTTCAACAGGAATCTTACAACATTCGGGTGCTCATGCATATTGAAATAATTTTTCCCCCCTAAATGATAAAAACAAGGACACACACCTCACTAACACTGTTGATGTGGCAATAAGCCAGCAACTGTTTCTGCAGTGAACATAAAAGCTCATGAAGATGAGCAGGTTGGCTGTTTTCTGATGCTGATGTACCCAGTAAAAATTTATCACTGTTTTTTTCCAGTTCTCCAAAGGCTTGGTCCTGTAAAGACAAAAAGGGGAAAAAACCCAACCATTAACTCTGTCTTCAAATGCTATAATACTTTAATATCACCTTAAAAATAAGCTTTTTAACCTTTACCTTGTGCACCTGTGATTATCAAAGAAATCAGATAATGTCAGGTGGATCATGGGATAACCAAGCTTGAAACTACAATCATTTGGAATATCACAGTAGTGATTGTGATAGCTGTCAGGAGAACATTTCTATTCCAAAAAGGGTATTTTCAGATGCAGAAATATTTTTCATTCAACTCACCAAGTATAACTGGATGAAAGAACTCACTCCCTACCCTGACCACCAAATCACACGATGTTAAAATAAGTAATAACCCTTCAGAATTTATTGCAGGCTGATACATAAAATGTTTCAGATTAGAATCCTTCCTTGCATTATCTAGGATGGCAATAAAAGGAGCAGAAGGTAGATGGCTGCTTGACTTAATTCTGAATTCTATTGAAAAAACTGAGTTAGTTCCAAGTAGAAAATTCAAAGTAGGTATCTCGATCTAGATGGCTGGCGGAGGTCTAGAGAAAAGAAAAAAAAATACCAGCCCTCACCCTCAGGAGATAGGGTTACTATTCCAGAGAAGTAAAAGTCTCTGATTCTTTTTTTTCACTGTTACATTTAACTAGCTAGTTGAATAAAAAGGTGAGAGAGTCAGTTACTTGCTTTTACGCTCCCCTAAACTTTTCATCAGCCTCTACTGTTAACACAGCTAAGAACAACAATCTGTTTGACACACTTAAGATGGCTGACCTGTACTTGCTGAACTATTGTAAGGTAATTACCCTGGCGAAGCTAATTAAACAGATTCCGGTTCCTGGTGTCTGCCTATCTTTCTCTGGTGGCTGAGATTGTACTGATAATGGTTCCATACAATCTAGTTACTTGATGTGTTACATTCTATCTTCCAAAAAAGTTTGAAGCCAAAGTAAGAGCAATAAAATACTCTAGTCTGACATGAAACCACCTACATTTACATAAGCCAAGTTAAACAATAGATACCACTATAACAACATTAGAACCGTAATGTTAGAGATGCTTTAACTGATTTTAGTCCACTTCAGAACAAATACATATGGCAACGCTATTTTAGATAAACAAAAAGAGCACCATTTTCTGAAAGTGGGGAAAAACTTTTAACCCTTCTAAGTATTCAAAATTCATTACCATTAAAAAAAAATAATACAAGGCCTATACATACTGTATAAAATCCCAAATTTCTTAGAAGAGTCTTCATTAAAATTTCAGCTAGATGAGTATCCGGATGACTGCTCTGGACAGCATATGTTTGATCAGAGAGATTTCCATAGCTGATACATAATGAGGAAGTTTCTGTGGCATCAGATGGTGAGCTATAGCCAAGCAGGGAAGCTACATGGGTGTGATCCTGCAAGCTTGTCAGAATAATATCCAATTGCATTCTCTAAAGAAAAATTTTTAGACACAAGAAACAATCTTTGTTAATGAAGATATAATAATAAGCTAAGAAGAAAAAAGCATCAGGCATAGTTACGCAATAAAAATATTCTAATGAGACATGAAAATAAGCTGGAGGACTTAACCAAAAAATCCAAACAGTTTTTTCTGCAGACTTGTAGTACTGAAGAACAGATAAATAAACCAAATTGTATGACCATACCTAGTAAAAATCTGAGATTAAGAGAGAGAGATTAGACATTGGACCAAGTGCTTTCTCCATTTTGTTCTAGTTATCTGATTTATGGGGGGGCAATTATTCTAATCTGTACACAGGAAAAAGGAAAAGGATAAAAAGCAGGGCAAGCATACATTAGACCAAGGGAAGTAGCAGATGCAGAGTACTGACCTTCAGTTTCAGTATTGTTCTCCACTGTTGCTGGTTATGATTCCCAAAAAACCTAAACTTGCTCTACCCTAGTAATTGTCTGGGATTTTACTTTGTACCAGTACTAATCTTCAGAAATCTTTAGAAAATTAGAATCAGAAGATTCTTCTGCATAATTTCAGTATCAGTGTAAACCAATCTATTCCATAGTTTATAAAATAAACGATTTGACCAGGATCCTATGTGTATAGAACTGAGTAATAGTTTCCCTCATTTTTTAACCTGAGACTACTGCTGAAGCTTCAGTTTCTACTGCCCTCAAGGACAGGAACAGATGTTCCTTGGATTTCTTTCCTTCCACTTGTAGGATACTGGGCAAGTCTCCTAACCTGCGTTAATTACTGTTCTTTACATTCAAGAAAGAAAAAGAAAAAAAGGAACATCCCAGTCATCTTTGCAAAGTAGGGTGAAATCCATGTAGGAAAAGCATTATACAAGTATTCTTCCCAGAAAATAGTCAACTTTCTGTTACTAAGACTTGTTAAATCAGGCTAGTATTCAGAAATATCTAACCTTTAAACTTGTCTAGATACTCTAACACAGCAATTCCTAACCTTTTTGTAGGGACGGTTCACTTGAGAAAAACATGTAGTGCTCCTTACCTCACTAGATTATGATTTAGCCAGGCTATAGATTTTAAGTTGGGCTTTGCACTGCATCTCACCAATAATGGGCTTACACTCTGCAAATGAGGCTCACCTCACTGTTCAAAATGTTCTAGCAAAAAACCCCCCCCAAAAACCCCACCAAACCATCAAACCCAAAACCCCAAACACTAAAAACCACACAACTGCTTTCAAAGCACAGCATATTTTTATTTGACCTTACCTGTCCTTTTGATAAGCTTTCCCATCTATCAGGACCTTGCGGTAGAAGAGAATGTAGCAATTCCATTCTCTCTCTCAATGGAGGAAGTAGCATAGTTGCTCCTACTGACAGAGTCTCAATTACAACCTAAAATTAAGAGTAGCAGAAAATACTTTTTCAGTGGGGCAGGGGGAAGCACACGATATATATCCAAAACATCTACTTAATTTCATTTAACATCAGAATTCTATCACACAATAGCACATTAATCTTTTATTCTGCGATACAAAGATATGCAGTATGCTGAAGGAGTGAAATGAGACCAACATATTGTCAAAACAACAAAAATTTCTTTCCAAGTTGCTGTTTCCTGTAAGAGTGCCATCTTAGGAGAAGTTACTCAAGTTAGGTACTCAGTCCGCAACATTAACGTTTCAGGCTCATTGTTACAAGCAATAGTAATTAAAATATTACAAAATAAAAGCAGCTTTTTGAAATTCCCATGCAAACATTCTCCTTTGCTTTCAGATCATAAAACAGTGATGGTGATTAAATATTTTAACTTTAATGAGTATAACTGGTAAGTCAGAATCATGTTCATCAGAGTGCCAAGTTCAGAAAGTCAGAGAAATCTCTAATTACACAGTCAAAGAAAGAAAGAAAGAAAAGAGAGTAGTAGAATTTTCACATGTAAACAGAGAAGCATTACTTACTTCCTGAATTTCATCAGGCACAGAAGAATCCATCAGTCTAAACAATAAATTTCGAAGAGGACCAGCTTGCCGGCCAAGAATGCTAGTAGCTACACCTCCAGCCAGTGCAAGTGCAAGATGATTAGAAAGCAGCTTCAAACACAATTTAAGAAAATTGTGATGTTCCCTGTAAAAAGATATACATCCCTGTTAATCTCTCCGATAATTAGCCTTAACCCCTTTCACTTACTTGTGCACAAAGATTTTAACTCTCATTTGATTTTGGATACCAGAAAGATAAGTAAATTACAACTGGGACTTTAAAGAAACTCCTGAAAACCTACTGCCATCTGCTTAAAAGAACAAAAACCAAAACCAGGATAGAGAAAAGTGTCTTTGTGAACAATAGTTCCAAGAGACATTCAGTTTTAGAAAAGTAGTCCCATGAATTAGGAGGCAAAATCATCCCCAAATACACAGACAGACAAATATATTCCTCACATAGAGGAAAAAATAAACCTTTTAAGAAGTAATAAATGCTGTCTTCTCCCAGAAGATTTAGGAGTACAACAATCAGATTAAAAATCAGAAGTCAGGATATTCATTTCTAGCCTTCTTAAAAGAGAAAACTTTTGAAAAACTTTCTAACAAGGAAAAAAGGTTCATAAGGATCTTTGATATTTATAGTGTTTTTTGCAAATGTCAGTGAGGAAACATTCATGCTTTCATATTTTATAGCAATACATTTAAAGCATCTCCTTTGGCAAAAAGGCTCAAATCTGCAATCTGTAATAACAATTACTGATGATTTGTCAAGAGGCTGTTTAAGTCAACATGGCACTATCAAGATAGGCTTCATTTTGTTGCATTTCATTTTCTGGAGCACCTTCCAGGAAAGACAAATTTGTGGAAATGCATAAAGGCTCCCCAAATCCAAAGCAAGGAAAGTGCTTCTTGCATATATATTTCAAACCTAAGTGACATTTCATGTCTATGAATTTCACATTTGTGAAAAGCAGCTTGTGTTTTCAAAACTAATGGATATCTTAATAAATAAATAAAACAACCCACATGCAACTGATCACAAAGTATCCCAAATTGTCCACTTCTAGCCTCTGTCTGTATCAGAAGCAAACTGTTGTAACTGTAATACTACACCTCATTACAAAATTTCATAGACAAATCAGTTCCTGAGAAAATTGAACTGCCTTTCTCTATTACAGTGTTCATTCAGATGGAAAACAGTTATGCTACTTGATGTAACCTGAACAGTCATACATGACCTTTAAAAAAGTCTTTCATGTATTCTGAATGATTTCTATCTCTCCAGAGGTCAGAGACGTTGACATGCTAAAAGTATCCTAATTCCTTAGACAGAAACAGGGTTTTATCAGAGCATTGATCCGAACTCAAAACGCAATGGCAACTATACATCTCCTGGTCTAAGCATCATACACGTGTTAGTCAATAACTGAATGTAGGGATTGATGGATTATCACTTGAAGAGGGTTTTTTTGCCTGAGCTTATCATTAGATTAAAGTCAGTAAGCATTCACTCAAACTGGTTACAGGAAGAACTTGCAAAGCAGAAATAACGTACAGAAATAGTAAATGTATTTCAACTATGTAGAAAAATGTGTTTTAAAGGGTAACTCTGAAAGCAAATATTTAATTCAGTGCATAATTAAAATACATTCCAGACAAAAGATCCTGCTACATTTGAGGCACTGAAAAGCTCTTGTGTTATACAAACAAATGGCACCTGAAAGAGCAAATAAACCAGACTTACGCTTGTTAAAGAAAGGACTAACCAGGACTAAGCCATGCACCACTGCTATAAAGAAAAAAAATTATAAAGATCTATGACATGCATATGCTGTATATACCTTGATGAAGGAAAAGGAAGAGGGGGAATTTCACTGTTAATTTTGTCACAGTAGTGCTCAAGAAAACAACGAAGATGAGAAAAGGTACTTTCTTCAAGGTCTACGCAATAGGGTCTGTGCCATGCCACAACTTGCCTGGAATCAAACATCAAAATACGTTAACTACTGAAAATATTCCAACTGCTTTAATAAATTAATTGTTTAAGTAGGTTGAGTACATGCTTGACCGAACCAATTTTTTTCTTACAACAAACTAATACGATTGAAGCAGAATAACTTCCTGAACCTTGAAGGTATTTTCTGCTCTTTTCTGTAAACGTCTTTACAAATCAAACACTCTTCATTTATGAACAAAAATACCTAAAATGCCATAAATATAAAGTCATACGTATTTAATCTGATTTGTGTAAAAGCTGACCAGTACTCACAAAGCTGGTTTTCGTACAAACGCCAGATTATAAAGAGACTTTGGTACAATGTAGGGAGAATTCAAAAGGAATAGTACCACTTAGTACTATTTAAGTCTATTTTCTTAATTGATTTTTCTACAGTAGTTCCCTTTGCAACAGGGCGTTTGAAATTCTTCCTGAATTATCTTCCAAATATTAAGTTTTGCTATTCCTTTGTGTTAGTCCATACACAAATTTGAAGTTTACTGGTTCACTTCAATCACTTGCTCATGTCTTTGGTGCAACAAAGCATTATTTCAGTTATTGTATATTAATAACCAAACTATTTATTTAGGTACCTGTTTTTAGTTTAGGTTAACATGTAACCATCCAGAAATTTAAGATGTTTAAATCCACGTCAGTAATTTGTCTAAACTTCCCCATTTCCCAAAGTCTTGTGCTTAGTTTACTTCTTGTTACACTAAAGGAAACTGCCCAAGCCATAAAAAAGTCCTGTCAGAAGCACAAAATAAAAAATACTGAACTGTTTCTCCTCCCACTGCCTAACTTGTCATTTTTGGTAAACAGAGGCAATTCAACAGCAGTTAAGAAATTTTCATATACAAAGAACTAATATCCAGATCCTTGGTGCTGCTATATTTTCACTTGTAATCTTTACCAGTTTAAAAAGAAGAAGAGAGGAGAAGGAAAGAGAGGAAGACAAAGAAAAGGAGAGAGAGGAAGAGCCAAGAAAAGACTCTCCAGTCCAAAACATTACAAGCAGAATACTTGAAACGCATGATGTGGTTAACACCTTCAGGGAAGAGTTAATGTATGCCAAATTGGACTTGTATAAAAAAAATTTATACCTGTCCCCCAACGTCATTGTTACCTGTCCCTTGGAAGAGCTGTCCAGGCAAGGCTATGAGACGTTCCTGCTGAAATTTGTTGAATTGCAACTCCATCTAAACCACTTACTTTCTTCGGTTTAGTAATGGGACCAGTGGAGTTTCCCTGACCACACTGTCCCATTGAATTGTTACCCCAAGCATAAACTTCGTTATCTATAAACATAAACAAAGTAGAAAACAAAATGTGAGATACAATTGCTTTTGATCAAGAGGAGGATCATGTATTTTTACACCTTATTGTTTTTACCATGGGAAAGTGCCAAACAGTGACTGTCACCAATTGAAATATCAACTATTCTTGTAGCAGCCAGTTCTTCAATAAGCTTGGGTCTGAGAGCAGTTGCCTCTGAAGAGCCACAGCCAAGGCACGCACCACAGCCCCATGCATAAACCTAGAGCAAACAAACCACAAAACATCAGCATGTCAAATGAGTATTACTGGTGACCACAAACAAACAAAATACCAGATAACAATTTGTACAATAATTGCAATTATGCTTTCAACAAAACATGCACAGTACCTCCATGACTCTAAACGTACATTTTACATCATCTATACTTCTTCCCCCCAACCACTCAGATCACTGGCCACAGAGCACATCAATGGGAAGGCTGTTGCAAGAAAAGAAACTGCTACAGTAAACTTCAACACTCCTAATCCATGCTTTAAAAACCCATTGCCTTTGAATCACAGTGGGGTGAGGGTGGCAGTTAGGTTACCTGTGTAGAAATGCTTATTGTATTACAAGTATATACATCATGCCAGTAAGAGCCCTCATTTACCACCTAAATATTTATCTCCAAGCTATCCTGAGATTTTTCAGATTAGAAATAAAACTTTCATTTAACACCTATATTCTAAAATACACATACATTTTAAAAAACTGTTAAATTACTTAACCACTTGAGTTGGTTAATGCATTAAAAATTACAAGCATTTCACTGTTTTTTGCTTCCAGAATCCACTTTGCTTCCTGAATCCAATTTGGTTTTGCACTGGTTACGTTTATTAACCTAGAAATAATTCATTTTCTGTGGCTAAGCAAGACTCTTGAAAAGTGTACTGTTACATGACTCTCCACAACTACTCTAGCACATTAGGATCTCTGTATTTTAGTCAATTTCTAATCCAGAACTTTACTGATATTTAAGTACTAGTTGAGTATTTTCTCAACAGTCAAAATAATAAATGCTGAATTAATGAACCCACATCATCTTCACCAACCTTCATCATGTGAGTGAAAGCTTGTTTTTGCTTACCTGCCCTGTTGATGTCAAGGCAAGTGAAGACTGGCTCCCAGCACAAACTTTTCGAATAAACATTCCTTGCAAGGCTTCTATAACTTTAGGTTTATATACTCTATTTGTATCACCATGACCAAGTTTGCCTACAAAAGGAGGAAACGCAAGTGGAAGGTATTTTCAATACATAAACTATGACAATGAGAAGTACCCAAGAAGAAATCTTTTTGGATTTCCAAAAATGTCAGAGTATGTTTTTAAAATTAAAACATATTACAATTTTCATAAAACCTATTCTCTTCAATTGCAGTAATTACAGACTTCAGGAAGTATATATTTATTATAATGTATTTAAAAACGGAAATATTAATTCCATATATCTACACTATTCATTGCCTGATGTTTAATTACGAAAGCCTTCCAAAGCACTAAACCTTTTTATATTGACAAAAAAGATTTAAAAGTTTCTCTTTCCTACTTTATAAAAAGTGACTTGAAAAAACCCCAACTTTTCTCCGTTTTTTTAACAGCTGTGTGCATTTGTGTAAACATCAATATACTCCTCCTTTAAGTTTCTCTTGAAAACAGCTATTCATCTCCACAACTTCACCATTTTCAATCAATGACCTCAAAAACAAGGACTGTCACTAGACCACGTCACTGTTGACAGAAAAACATTCCTCAAAAGGAAGGAGAAAACACAAAATCAAATGTGAAACATATTACAAAGAGTGATATTTTCTACAAAGGTTATGCTTTGATTCATGTTGTTTTACCTTTCCTACAACAATATTTTGTACCACATTATCAATATCCAAAAGCCAAATTGTTTGTAATTTACTGAAACAGAAAAGCAAACTCCAATACTTTGTGATGGTTAATATGCCTGTCCTGTTAAAAACTGATTTTTCAACTGAAACTACAGAAAGAGGGAAACAGAGGAGTGGGAACAATGTTATATGCACATGTTGGAGCTAGCTTTCGAACGAAATTCAAATTCCTACGCAGTTCTATTAACCACCAATTTGATTATGAGATTTCTATAGTCTGCATTTTCCTCTCTTCTCACACTAGGCTAGGAAAGAATAACACAGCAATTTTAATCAGTTTTAATTTTTATCTAGCAGCATAACCAAATTTAGCTAAATACAGTAACAGTGGAAAATGAATTATTCTGACAAAGCATCTACTGGCAATGAAGCTGTCCTGGTTTTGGCTGGGATAGAGGTAATTTTCTTCCTAGTAGCAGGCATAGTGCTGTGTTTTGGATTTAGTAGGAGAAGAATGTTGATAACACACTGATGGTTTAGTTGTTGCTAAGTACTGCTTATGCTAGTCAAGGACTTTTCAGCTTCCCATGCTCTGCCAGGTACACAAGAAACTGGGAGGGGGCACAGCCAGAATAGTTGATCCAAACTGACCAAAGGGCTATTCCATACCATATGACATCATGCTCAGTATAGAAACTGGGGCGGGGTTGGCCGGGGAGCAGCGATCGCTGCTTGGGAACTGGCTGGTTATCAGTCGGCGGGTGGTGAGCAATTGCATTGTGCATCACATGCTTTGTATATTGTTATTATTATCATTACTATTTTACTTTATTTCAGTTATTAAACTGTTCTTATCTCAACCCAGGAGTGCTTCTCACTCTTACTCCTCCGATTCTCTCCCCCATCCCATTGGGGTAGGGGGAGTGAGCGAGCGGCTGCATGGTGCTTAGTTGCTGGCTGGGGCTAAACCACAACAGAAGCTTAGAAGCCCTTTGGTTTTGAGATGGGAGATGTTTCCTCAAGAGGCAGTTTAAATGCAACAGTTTCTAGTACATGAATACAGTTATTGCCATATCAAGTAAGTGAGTTTATTTGAAAGTTATCAGCAAAGCATTTTTCCCAGAATTGTTTATGCATTCATTGTGCTTTCTGCTCTGTGAAGCCTCTCTTCCTTCTGATAATCCATTTTTAAAGTCTACAATCTTGCAGCTAAACTTCAAATATTGTATTTATATGTTACTAAAATCCTTTTCTTGAAGAACTTGCAAATGACCGAAAAAAAAAAAAAAAAACCCAAAACCAAACTGCAAGGAGTACTGAGGCTATCAGGTAGGTGGAATAAGATGAAAATTACTACCAAAATGTTAGTTTTACCTACCATTATCTCCTCCTCCAAATGACCATACTGTTCTCCCATCTTTGGACAGAGCTATTGTGTGTGAACTGCCACAGGAAACCTCTCCTACATTGCTAATATCTTTCACTAAAGTTGGAATGTTGCGGCTGTTGCTGTCCCCATGACCTAAGGAAAAAGGAAAAATATATTTTCTTTTTGTGAAGATTTAAGTTCTATTTATGGTTTGTAGTTTCAGTAAGACTTTGAGAAAACCATATATATTGTATTTATCACAAATTATAATTTCTGCCCACTTTTTGGAAAGATCTGTAGTAAAGCTTGGAAAGATATCTGTAGTAAGGTTAACAATCATTTCATTTTTATAAGACATACTCCAGAACACTTGTTCATACCTTACTGCCATTAAATCATAGGACTATCTTCTACCTAGTTTAAAAGAAATAAAAAGAATTACTAGCACAACTGCCTTTAATACTGGTTGATTAGGTAGCTACACTATCTAATACTGGGCAGCAGGTAGCCTGAACAGTATGAGGAAGCTAAAATAAGGACACACTCTTAGTACTGTCAGTACAAGCATACATGCTGCACAGACAAAACCAGCAAAGTAGGTAGTTTTAGACAGTCACAATTCTAAGGAAACTTCTAGCAAACAGAAATACTGTGGTTTTCGTTTCATTTAAATTTAACTTTTTAGATGTATTAAGGTAAAATGACGTTAAGCCATTCTGAAACTTAATTTCAAGTATCCTTATTAGTATCGCATTAGAATCAGACCCTTGATATTATTAGCCAGTTATTCGTGACTGTTCAAAGAACCATCCTACCATCACTAGATCATGTTTCTCTAGAATTCCAGTTTAATTAAAATGTCAACTGTTTACAGTTAAGTGGCAGTGGCAATCCTATAGTCTTATGAATTAATAAAGGCAACTTTTCCTGAAAAGAAAAATTTTAAAAAATAGAATCTTTGTAAAATTAACTGCATTAAAATCTTTTAAGAGCCTCTGCACTAGTTTCAATACAGTCACCTATATACATACACCTGTGTGCACGTGTATGTGTATTTAGAGGGGAAAATAAGAGAACAAGGCATATACATGTATAGTATCATTACCAACACAGGAGTTCTTCCAAAAGCATCTCACAAAATTTCAAAATTACCTAATCTTCCGAAGTCTCCTTCTCCCCATGTATACAGCTCTCCATCTTCTGTAACAGCAGCACTGTGTCTGTATCCAGCTGATACACATACAACAACCTACGTTACATGCAAAAATAAAGCTTTTATACAAATTGAATAGGAAGTTTGAAAGCCTACGAAAGTCAAGTTTCAGAAGCAGTCTACATACAATCAACTTGTTCACTCATGTGGACCAAGTACACAGATAATTAATCTTTGCAATCTTTACTATTTAGTATTTGGTAAGTAGAAATCAGTACACAGAGACACGTTTATATATAAAACTGGTCATGATTTATTTATTAAGCAAATTTAACATAACGATATCCTAGCCTTACAGCAGCAAAAAGAAGCGTCAGTGGATGTTTAAAACACTGTCCAAACCACAGACAGATAGGGAAAAGAAGGCCTTGTGGGACAATACAAAGCCACTTTTCAAATGAAGCCACTAAAAAGTTATATACGAAAAGTCCTAATGTTACAGGTAACAGAAGCAATCATATCCTGGAACATCACCACAGTTCAGCAAAAGCACACAAGCAAGTTTTACACTTAAGACTATGAGAAGTTTTACTGACAATGCCATCGTCCAAATCACATGCCTAAAGGCAACCATAAGTTTTAGTGCTTTGCTGAAAGCAGACACAGCTTCAAAGCGAGGTTTAGATAAAACAAACTTTTGCTTAAGATTTTATATATTTCAAATTTTCCACAATCTCACAAGTGAATAGAATAAAAATAGGTGTTCTACTATACAAAACATACCTTTCCTTGCAGAGGACCCTGAATAAGTTTGGGATATTTCTGAGTTGAACTATTTCCATGTCCCAGTTTTCCATAGTCACCGTCACCCCAGCTGAAGACTTCCCCTTCTGTTGTAAATGCTAAAGTGTGACCATCAGATCCTTTTGAAGATGACACTTTTTTAATAGACCTATGAGGCTCAAAAGTCAATTTTTTCAACGTGGACTGATTATTGGAGTCACCCAGTCCTAGTCTCCCATAGCTGCCTTTACCACAGGCTCTAACAGAACCATCCGTAGAAATAACAAAAGTACAATATTGTCCAGCTTCAATCTATAAACAAAAAGGTTAAAATAGTAAAAAAGAAAGATCAGATAAATGTAAAAGTCACATATAGGTCTAGAAGTCTGTATTTTTAAACATAATGTCAGGTTTCTTTACATAATCTTTCCATATAACAATGTAAAACTTAAGGAGGATTTGGACTTCAGCAGTAAAATTCAAATTCTTATAAAATATTTTACAAGTAAATCTATTTTCTTGAGGTAAAGGATTTAAATAGTGATTAAGCTATTTTATTTATTTGCATCTCTTCTACAGACTACAGAACTCAGGCTGCCTTCAGATCTCCAAGACTCATGGATAGAAATGGACAGTCTTTGAAGGTATCTTAATTTCTGAAGATTAAAAAGACAAAGTAACAGCTTGATAAAGCACACTGTAGGTTTTGCTTAATTTTAACCAGTACCAAGTGGCAACATTAGAGAAATATGCCAAACGCTAAAAATCCACTACCACTTGAGACTATGCATTTGAATTACATAAACACCAAAGAAATAAGACCAAAAATTTTTAAGAAAGTAAGAACTTGTCTCTATTGAAAAGTCAGCACGCAGCTGAAGAATGACCTAATAGCAAACAAACTAACCCTGCAATAATTTCCTATAGGAATCTTAACACACCATAAGTGCAAAGCAGGTTCAACTCTGAAGCATAAAGGCACTGCATGTCCACATCATAAAACAGCACAAAGCAGGTAGTGGACTGCATGGTGACAGCCCTGTTTACTGTAAATTAACTTCTTCATATAGAAAAATCCTACAAAGACCGTCAATGAAGGTTGAAGAAAGAATTCTTTAACCCCGTGGGAAATCACATAAATATGTTGTACTGGTGTATACAGCACTATTTAATGAGTAACTCATTCATTCAGATCATTCATTCCACTCATGTATTAGTGTTTTGTTTAAACAGAGTTTTTTGAATGCAAAAACTTGCTTTATGATGCCTGGTCCTGCAGTCCACTGGCATATAAAATGTATCAGTGACATCAATAGAAACAATTTCAGAAAATGTACCTAAATTGGCTAGTGACCAAAAAAATGCTTTTACTTAAGTCAACACTGCAAAGCCAATACAGTAACAGAAAAGCAAACTATTCTATTCTGTGTCATGCATCAACAGAAGTGCTCAGTTGCAACTGCAGAATCTGTGACTGAGAGCAGCAAGAGCATACTGTACATTGATTTTCAGAAAGCTAATTAAGGTTACCATGCCAGCAGTTAGCCCAGTTTGGACTTTTAAACTAGGGAACCTTAGTGTGAAAACCACCAATGGGAAAGAAGATTGAGTAGTTAAGATACCTTTTAAACAACAATAAAAAACCCATAACTACAGGCAAGCAAATTCGTCTCTGCAAATGCATTTCATAGCAAGTTAGGTAATTCAATTGTTCTTGTTACATGGATATTGATCTGTGTGTGTCATTAAAAAAGAAACAGAACTTTTTTTCCAGGCATCAATAGAAGTAGTGAGATACTTTCAGTAAAGTAACTTGTGTGATTAGTTCTGAGCATCATGCCTTCATTACAACTGACACTCAGAAATAAAGTACTATTTTCTAATTTCATACTATAACTATGAAGCTCTTAAATGTTACATAATGTACCACTACAAATGTCACTCACTGTCTGTGCATCAGAAAAACTTGGAGCAAGCTTGGGTTGAAGTATTTTCTCTTGAGTTCCTTCTACCAGTTGATGACTGCTGTTGCTACCCCAAACATACACTTCACAGGTCTCAGAAACAATGGGAGCATCACCCGTTTGAATGCTGTCAGGGCTGGCGCACGTTCTTGAGTAGTCTGATGCCATTCGACAAACCTATTAAAATGAGAGATTTATTATGCAGTAACATTTTCATTTATTTCCACATAGTCACAACATTTAATGCAACTTCCATTTCCCCTCAATATGATTCTCTGCCTAAAACACAAATCATCCATCACTGTATCATTAGCTTGCCTAAATTACTTTGTTTCACTACATCTTAGTTTTTCACCGTTTTTCCCCTTCCTCTTCTACTCCAGAATAACTCAGTAGAGATTGGACCATACGCACGTGCACACACCAATAAGATGCATGAGGGGGAAGTAAAATACAATTACCTTAAAGTCAAGGTTCGTTTCAAGACATACCTCTTCAAATAAACACAGAGCTGCCTCGTAAAGAGAACATAAGCCATCAGACGTTCTAGTTGGCTCTCTCCATTGACTTCGATCAGCGGATGATCCCTACAATTTTTAAATGTTATTATGAGAAAAATACTTCCATACAGCAACAGTGCACCCGTACAAAATACATTAGGGATTTGTTCTTACAGTTAAGCAAAATGAAAAGCTCTTTCTATAAGCATAAGTAAACTACCTTCCCCCCCAAGCTGTGATATCTGCATACATCTCAGGATGATAAAAATGTGACAAGTGCTAATTAAATATTCTTACTTATTCATTCATTTTTGTGAAAATATCTGGGTTTAGAGTTAATTTCTCCTAATACTGTTTTGTTCTGAAATGCATGTCACTTGTGTTTAGTTTAAAGTGATCATTATTTAATTTAAAAATGACTAATCATTACTTTTGTGTTTACATGTCTTCCACATTTTGGTGTCTAATTTTGTATCTAGTCCAAAACCAACAACAAATAAAGTTGCCCATCAGGACATTTAATCCAGTTCAGATCCTGCCACTGCCATGCTCTTCTCATGTTCCCCATTTTTTAAATCTTTTAGTTCTTAAGATTTATGTTTACTCACAAGCATTACAAGCCTGAGAAGAGAAAAAAGAATGACCACTTCAGGGAAAAAGTCCTTCCCTGTTTCAGCCTGAGCATATGAGGCAGAAGCTTGCCACAGCTTCAGATTGCATACTGTGCAATAATTTCATAGCTTTAAAAAGAATATTCATCTAGGACCAGAAGTAAGCACTCAACATACAAAGCAGTGTACCATACTTCTAAACAATTTAGCTCATTTTCTTATTGCATTAATTACTGAGCAGTAGCAAAAACACTAAAAGTCTCAAATCTTATTGATTCTCCAAAGATATCTAAGCAGAGGTCCAGGTTAATTGGAGTGCAGGAATGTCCAATATAAATAACTTTGAACAGGAACAAGGCATACTGCAAAACTTTGAATTCTAAGCAAATTCAGCAAAGCAGGCCTTAAAAACAGTTCCATACTTTCTAACTTTTAAATGTAAAGTGCAAGTGGATCAAGAACATTTTGCCTGAAGTTGGAGTGTAACACCAAAAGTGACAACACAGGGACTGCTTTGCTGTTTCATCTCCTTTACCTATGAGGAAATGGGTGGGCAGGGAGGAAGAGAAAGAGACGGTGGGTAACCAAGGAAATACTGAAAAAAATATTTCACAAGAAAAAACCCTTTTTAATATATTAAGCAAACTCTTCAGCAAATTGGCATTCAGTGTTGAGAAACTATTTAAAAGTTAAGAATGCAACTACATTTGCAATATATAAAAATCAAAGCTGGTATACCTACCAAAGATCGTCGCATCTGTGTTAATATACTCATAAAGCAATCAAAGCTGATCATCCCTTCTGGACTTTGCAGCAACTTGGTTTTCTCCATGGTGTTTACTACAGCTGAAGCACCTAAAGCCATTTCTATCCATTCAAGAAGATATCGCAAGGAACCTCGTTGGGCAGCCAAACCAAGAAGCAATTCAGAAGCTAATCTACGACCTAAGGTGTCTGCCCCAGAGTTTGGAATTGTTACTCCTTTAAGAAATGTTGTTACTTGTGATAAACAGTCCAACCCCATTGGTGGAATCTTGCTTTCATTTGCTAAAGATAAAGGTGGTAAAGAGCTCACTACTTCTATTGCAGTATGGATAACATCATTGCAAAGACTGAGGCCAGGTCCTGACGTAGGCATCATCCAACTTTGTCTTAGCAGTGCAAATAACAAGCTTAATCCAGTCCGAACCCCCATTTCTATGAGTGCATCTGTACTTGACCTGGGACGTTCACTGACAGAATGCACATCTGTTGATCCAGAACTGCTTTCTGGTGAATGCTGCTGTTGTTTCACCTTACCCTTATCGTGATATTTATTAGAAAGTGCATAGAAGACACGCTGTAACACAAGGAGACGTTTTCGAAGTGCTCCAGCAAATGGCGAGTCTGAGCATACCATCTTCGCCAGTGCCAGCTGGCTGCTAAGAAGGGCATCCAAGTAGTGGTCCTGTTCATCACTAGATAGAGATTCCCGCTCAAAGTCTGGTAACTGAGGTCCTTTGAGGCACAGAACTTGCTGGGGCAATGGCACTACTTCTTTATTGCTGACTAACTTAGCATACAAGATAGAAACTCCCTCCCTTGTTGCAATAGATTCACTGTCTTCTGTGATCCAGGAGCTGTTTAGATGTTCAAGCCATTTCAGCTTCACAGGTGGAACCATAGCTGCCATGTTGGTTTACTCCTTTGCCATTAGTCCTGAAGATGAAAAAAACCTGTAAATAGGGATGCAATATTATCTACAGAACTTATTACTCACAGTAGGACAAATCCTAATAATCCTTTATGAAAGCAAGTAGCAAAAGATTAATCACCAAGAACTATCAAAGTTCCACCATTTTACCCATATATGTGCTGCAACCTGGAATTTAGATCAAATACTAACAGAATCATTTAGAAGTAGTGTTAAAAAAACCACTTTTTGCAGCCTAATTTTTATCTTCATCTTAAACAAATAAGTACATGCATACGTGCAACTTCCTTAACATGACATAAGAATTTTAGTATGTCTGCATTTTCTAAATCCATATGCACAAAAATTCACACAACACAGATTTAATTCTGCTATGTTTCAATGAAAATACACTTTTAATATTCTCTAGAAAAAAAATATTCTCTTTACAGACAGCAAAACTGAGGACAAAGACTTCAAAAAATGTACATCATACACAACTGTGTACTAGGGAATGGAGTACCAGTATAAACCTTCACTTTACAATAAATGAGACTACTAATTCAGGCCATTAACTATGGGCTCAACCTGTCAAACACACTTTTAAGTCCTGCTGTCACAAGCCACTCTTTCGCCTTTCTAAAGCAAGCTAGAGATCTCCTTAAAATCCATGTCAGAATGTTAAACAGAAACCAGGACAGGTGGCTTGACTACTAGAGTGGCACATTATGTAAAATCTAGTCATTCAGTGAACAGGCTCTTCAGAGCCAAATACACATTACAACTATTCCAAGTAAATTTACAGCATCAAAAACTATGTAATACATTATATTAATGTATTGTATAATGTATGAGTTTGAAAGTATTCAAATCTTTTAGGACAGACTTTTAAGGAGGGGATCAGTAACGGTATGGAGATAAAGAGAGAACTTAATAATGCAACAACACTGCTTTACCAAGGAAGTTCAAATTGGTTGCCAAACCAATGTGACAGCTTACCACATTGTTTCAAATCAAAGACGTCAATTAATTTGAGAGATCTTTTTTTTCTGACAATTTTAGGAAAAAACACAATGTATTATGAATCACGACACTTTTACATGGATTCAAACTCAATGAAACATTGTGATGAAATTGCTACAGAATTCCTGGGAATCCTATGGTTAAAGTGGGATTCCTTGCCACATACCACAAAGCTTTTTTTTGGCTAGCACTAGCCCCTGCAATATATCTTTTCTGACTTTTGCACTGCCTGAACTGAAGTCAACTTACTTAGCTGAATGGAAAGATCCCTTTTTCTCTTGCTATTCGCTTGAGAGACACAGTAGGGTCCAAGTTCTACACGTGGCCTAAAACCTCAGTTACAAAATCCATGTGTGAAACCTGAATGCTTTGATATTAAACCACTTATAATTGGCTTAAGTAAAAAGTAGTTTCAAGGTTTACAATTAGACAGGATTGTATTTTTTGTTCACTGTTTTAAAATTAAAAAATTTAAAATAATTCAACAGATGAAAAAGTTACACTTAAATTACAGGATATCAGAACTTTTTGAAATTTCATCTGAGTGTATCAACTTTCAAACTGAACATGGCAACAAGTCCTCTTTGATGACTTTCAGAAGGGAGAATATAGTGTTGGAAAAGCAATTATTTCTCTACATAGTCCTTTTTTTGGGACAACACACCATAGGTGTATGGCACAGACAGCATGGTAAATGTGCATATGGCCTTTTAGTTCCCCAATGCTCAGTCACCACAAATCTCTTAACAGTACTACTCAAAATGAAAGTGTAAGCCGTTTAAAAAAAAAAAAAAATTCATCAGAAGGGCATCTTGTATATTCAAAAGCATACAGTATTATTTAGGCAAATCATGCTGTAATAAAGTACTCCCAAAAATTAAGGTGGTATAAGTTTACAGAAGAACTGTATGTTAGGAAGACAAAATTTGGAGGTAAAACAGGGAAAATGTCATGTTAGTTTTTAGTTAAGTTTTGAGAGATCTTCTCTATCTTGAAACCAACAATGTAATATTTTGATTAACAAGTTGGTAAAACAATGACAACACAAAGCGCAGAGGCACCTCTATCACTGTAGATGAGTATATCACATGGGAAGAACCATATGTAGGTGAGAACTAGTAAGATTAATAGCTTGAAATTTAATAGTAAAACATGCAAGCATATACAATTATGAAATAAAAAGTTCTCTCATAAGTAGAGAATCTATTATTTGGAGATTCAAAAGTAGAAGAATCTAATGAATCACAGAAGGATCATCAGTCATCACAAAAGCAAATACAATCCTGAGTAGCATTAACAAGCATTTCCAGAATGGTTAGGGAACGTTAGGTAAGGGAAGAATTTTTACACAATTTTATAAAATGCTAACCAATTGGATTAGCCAACTGGATTTCTGTCACCTATATCCTAAACTCATTAAAGATTGACACTGGATCATGCAGAGAAAAAGATTATTCCTCTGATCTACCCTAATAGAGAATCTAGCCTAAAGGTAAGACTAGGAGTGTGGCTTTTCAGCACAGCAAATCCAAATAAATAAATACACCATAAAAATGAAAGAAAATGAAATCTGCTCTATGACTACCGCAGAGAAAAAAAGGGGTGGGAATGGCTAAATAAGCAAAAGGAGAATATGGGCACAAGAACAAATGGGTATAAAACAATCACAAACTAATTTAAGCTGAAAAGCTCAGAAGTTTGTTCCCAGTTAAATCATGCAATGAGTTTCTAATGGAAATAGCAAACCCTTTTGAAACGGAGCATAATAAATTCTGATACACAACACAGAGAATTTTTCTAGTCTTATGTTGTCATTCTACCAGGAAAACATTTCTTTCAGGCTAACAAAAACATCTTCCCTGAAGAGATTTCTATCACAAAAAGAAATCCTAGGTAATCTGCAGCAAGAACACAAAGTCAAATTTGTTCCAATTTTACAATATTTATAGTCATAAAGTAAATTGTTTTTTAAATTTATTTAGAAAGTGCCTAATGCTGTCTTAGTGACTGCTCTCTCACAGACAGATGAGGGTGTAAGGGGGAAGAGTGTTCCATATAAATGCAGCAATGCATGGCATTTCTTTGTCATGATACATCTCACCATAATTCATTTCTTCCAAGCACCACAGTTTTAGTTTATCTGGTTATTATTTTAAAAGTACACATGAACAGCATTTATTTAAGACAAGGTAATTCAAGATTTAGATCTGAAGAACTAAAAAGCTGTGGAATTGATAAGCATATCTCAGCATTATGATGATTTATGTCTGCATTGAATTATACAATGCGTGACCCTGCTCTCATGTTCAGGTATTTTATAAGGATAAAGGAAGTTAACCTAATGGGGTAGCTTTTCTGACAAAAACGTAAACTGCTGAACAGCCCACATCTCTCATATAACAGCAAGACGTTCCATAGACAAAAAACCAAGGAAATACAGCGGACAGTACTCTCCCAAGAATAAAGCAATGAATAGAACTCCTATACTATGCATATTGTTTAAAGCTCAGAAATGGAAGATGTTAGTGTTCCTCAAAAAATGATTCTAACCAAAACCATTAATGTGTGCCACTGGTACCCAAAGGCAAGCTGCTGCAGAGACCAGCGTTTGCATGGTCTAGAAGTGTTGGCCTACATGAGACTAAGTTGATACAAGCAAAGCTTGTATTAGGATAGTTTCTTAGCAGGGCTTATTAGCTCAAGCACAGCACCATGTTGATACAGGCATACTGTTGACAAGATCCAAGCTAGTTCACATATCTTGATGCAGCATGTGTCACAAAACTTTTCAGTCCATTTCTTCTCATTTTTTCCTTTCATCTTGCAATTTCAGGCTGTTCTGTCAACACTTAAGACTAAAAAAAAAAGGAATGCAATATGATTTTGGAATAACTATCTTTTGGGATTTCCAGCTACTTAAAAATGAAGTGAGGGCTTCATTGCCAGATCCTATTCATAGTTCTGGAACAGAACGCTGGCATGAGTAGGAGAAATCTATAGAAGAGTGTATGTGCAAGGTGCATTGAACATTTCATATTTATACATGTCCCAGAGATTTCAAAGACTATCTACTTTAATGTCCTACTAGTTTTATTGTTTACTTGCAATCTAGTGGCATTTTAGTATTTCAGTGCTTTGCAACCGAATTTAGGATACTTTTTTACTGACTTCAATTCCTGTATGCCAATAAAATAAATTTTTTATTCTTGTTTTGCTTAATATTTTAACCCTCATAAACACAGTATTTTCAGTAGACAGCTTTTGAACTCAACAGCAAAAAGATAAACCACAAGAACTATACCTATGCGAAGTTACAATGAAGTTAAGATCAACGTTTCTTAGTTATCATTTACACAATGTTCAAGTACTGCAAAAGTAAAAGTATTGACAATGTGACCAAAAAAACCCTAATTCCAAAAAAAAACAAACCCCAAAACCCACCAACCAAAAAACACCCAACAAAAAAAAAGACCCACTGAGCTTGAAAAACTTCTCACTTACAAGAACGCAGACTGATCACAACTAATTGAGTCCAGGGTTCTTCAAGGTCTAAGTCTGAGAAAATTTTTAAAAATTAATAAATAGACCACCCTGCTCCCAAAGAGACACTTGAGTCATTAATTTTAATGCTAGTAGCATTTAGAACTCCAGTTTCTTCAAGAGGATTCTTGATGTTAACTGTAAATTTTTTCAGGCTAACTTCTAGCTTTATATGCAAGGAGGCTTTTTCAAAGCAAAAGAGTGTTTTCAAATTGCTCTTTTTAAAAGAAGTATTGTTTAAGTAACCCACAAATGCTTTACCTCCTATTGTACAAAACAGATTTGACTCCTGTTTTATAATCATTAGTCATGACATGATCAGTTTCTGTTCTTTGACCCTTCAAGTTCTAATGTATTACAATTTCACCAAAAAGTAACACAATGCTCTGAAGGAGAGAAGAGGTTTGTGTTCTTTGGTAGTCTGAGTCCTATTTGAC